TCTACCTGTGTGTGCCTGAGAGTGAGTGTCTGGCAGTGAGTATCTTTGTATATGTATGCATGTTTCTCTGAACATGCGTATGTTTGTGTACTGCCCGTGGCCTTTGGCATTAAGTTCATGGCGAAGTGTGAGTGAGAGAGTGGGTGGCAGGGTGAGGGTGAAGTGGCAGGGTGAGGGGGGTGACAGTGTGGGTGGCAGGGTGAGGGGTGACAGAGTGAGGGGTGGCAGGGTGATAGATGGGGTGACAGGAGGGGTGGAGGGTGAGGGGGGTGGCAAGGTGACAGGTGGGGTGGAGGGTGACAGATGGGGTGACAGTGAGTGGCAGGGTGCAGGGGGTGACAGGTGGGGTGTGGGGTGGACAGATGGGGTGACAGGTGGTGGGGGTGACAGATGGGGTGGCAGGGTGGGGGTGACAGGGTGAGGGGGTGACAGTTGACAGTGGCAGGGTGACAAGGTGACAGGTGACAGGGGGTGGCAGTGTGAGAGAGGGGTGACAGGGTGAGATGGGGGTGACAGGGTGAGGGGGGGTGACAGGGTGAAGTGGCAGGGTGAGGGGGTGACAGGGTGAAGTGGCAGGGTGAGATGGGGTGACAAGTGGGGTGGCCTAAATCGCCTAATTAGAGTGCCGCCTCTGCTCAGTAACATGGAGACCCTTAATCTTTAAGCCAGGGCTCAACAAATCCCAGGCAGCCTGCTGTAATGCCAGCAGATGGAATATGGCGTCACTCTTGCCATGAAGGTTCAGAGCAAGAAGGGGGAGTGGACGTCACTGCTAGAGGCAACTTTGAGGTTAAACTGTTCGAGAACGGATTAACACTTTGAGGTAATAACTAACACACATTTATAAGTATATTATAAAGTGTGCAGGGAAATGTTTGAAGAGAATAACATAAACTGATAATGTTCTAAACTAATGATAGCATATCAAGGATTAAATGTTACACATGGAGTAGAGCAACACCTTTCTCTGCGCAATGGAGATGGAAAAGAAAGGTAATAAACCAACCAATTAATTGTTTAGTTCTCTATATTGTATGAAATGTCTATAAAACCCCTGACTTTTTGCTGAATAAACGAGAACACTTGATTCTGTAGACAGACATGCTGTCCGTGTGAACTAATTTCTTCTCACTATGACATGTCCTGCTCAGACCCAAGTGTATGTTGGCCAAAAGTGAATCAGAAAAAAACCCTAGTAGGAATTTGGTCCTACCATTATCGTGTGAGAAGTAGGATGGACATCTACAGTGATTAGTAAGTATAGGGATGTGCTTTAAATATTCTTCTCTTCATGTCCCTAATTTGTGTCTGGTATCACTGTATAGAGTAAAAGTGATGTTGTGGTCATCACTTGAGTATTCTCCACTTTTGCCCTTATTGGGAAAGGGTCCCAGTCCCCGTAGCAAGATAACAAAAAAAACAAAAAACGGGGACAGGGTCCCCATAATCAAATTTTAGTCTCAAATAATTGTGTGGGCTGAGAGGACAAAGTGGTAAAATAGCTTGACAGTATTTGTATATTTTTAATTAGGAAATGGAACTAATAATTGCCTATAACTGTGTTGGGTATCCTGATGACATGAAATATAAATTGCACATACGATTCTTGTTTAGGCATAGACAGGGTATAGTTTTTACTTTTCCTAGATATCTGTGTTTCCACCAGGCACACCACATGTGATTATATTTGGCTCAGATGGAAGGCTGATGGGATCAAGGTATTAAGTTACTGAAATTTTCAGGTTTTCGTTAACATATTTGTAAGATGTGTTGGATAAGATTGTGTGCTTTGTCGGTGGGAAGTTGCAGACCCTCTACTCAAGGATTGGCAGGGTTTAGCACTCTATGGGCAAAACTTGTTTCATGTTTTGCAGTCTTAAAATATTTCTCCTGCTGTCTTTTCTGAACAAATTCCTGCAAATTGTTTCACTGTCCAGAGGAAAGTGATCAGCCAACACAGGTATTAGGTAATGAACTCCTGATAAAACTTTATTATATAAACTGAAACTTGGATTTTTTTTTATTTTTGTAAAAGTTAAATAAACGTTTTACTTTTAGCCACAGAAGTTCTTGGAAGGCTATCATATAAATACTATGGTAAGTATATAATTAGGTGTGCAGGGAAGTGTGTAAGTTTAAAGTGAATAACATAAATGGAAGATGTTTATAACTAATGATCTTCATATAAGACAGCATGTAAAGTGTTAAATGTTACACAGGAAGTCCGGCAACACCCTTCTCTATGCCATGAAGCTCATTTCTTCTCCTAGCTAGCTGCCTGTCAAAGCCCGCCACGACTTCTCTTGCTCAGTCCCAGGGGTATTTTGGTCAACAGGTGAATGAGAAGTACCCCCTAGTAGGAATCTGGTCCTACAAGAAGTTATATGTTGATGGGGATTTTCATAGACACATAGAATGTGACGGCAGATAAGAACCATTTGGCCCATCTAGTCTGATCAATTTTCTAAATACTTTCATTAATACCTTGTAACTAGGTATGTATGTTTTTCATTGCACGGTACCCACAGTGCAATACAGGACTTAGAAAGTTAAATTGAAGGCAGATTGTAATATAGAGATTACTATATAACTAATAGTGGGTTGTGCATCAGAGTTCTGTTTCCCAGCACTCCCTCCTGACAGTCACCTCCCCCTAAGTAGCCTGACTGAGGACTATACAATTGCTCTTCCTACTGTTATCTGATGTAAAATACAAAATAACAAAAACAAACCCTAATATCCCATTATCCTCTCCATCAATTGTAGAGTGGGATGTACAATGTACAGTATGTGTTATTTTTATTATAGACTCTTATTTCATTCTATACTCTTATCGTAGTCACTTGCAACTTATTTGAGCACACTGTTATTTTTTTACAGGATTATTTGTGGGGCTGCATTACTGTTTCTTTTTATATTGTCATAGATAGATTCACCTCAGTGAATACCTCCCAGCTATGGGGGGTATGACAAAAAGGATGTCAGTGGGCCTTGAGGGGGCATACCAGTGGGGCAACTTGTGTCACTGGCAATACCCCTAATAGGCCATTCAGCCCAGAAATAGAGTAGAGCTAAACACGGAAGGAGCTTATCAGCTTCTTGTGACTGATTGACAGTTTTGTCTGAATTTAAATTTTGGTCTGATCATCTGTTCATCTGAATTCTGTATCTACGAAGTGTCATACTAATAGGGCAGTCCTAGTGCACTCATTGCACAAGTGCATCTTATCATGTACTCACACAGGGCTTACTGTACCAGTTTCCTTGTTTCCCCCAATGCAGAACACAGACAAAAAAATCAGTGAGACATGATCCCCAAATTGGGACTATCACACTTATATCAGAACAGTTGGAAGGCCTATCAGTATGTTGTGATCCAAATTCCAATGAACTTTTATACACTGACTGACTCAAGGCAAGGGTTAGCTCAAACCAGATGTCACAATCTTCCAATAGCTGAGGCTCATGGTCAGTGTCATTCAAGATCAGTACATCTGGCCAATCCAGTTGTTTGCTTACTTTGTGTAAAAAAAGGAGCTATATCCATTAAATTTTTTTACCTGTGACTGCCAAGTAAAACAGCTTGACCGGAAACGGGAGCCTGCTACTTGTGTTCTAATTTTGCACTTTAAGCAAGAGTAACATGACATACCCTGTGCTGCTTACCACTACTGTGCTAGAAGAAACAGCATTCCTTTTCTACATTATTTATGGGGATGGTCATTCCTGCTTATAATTCTCAGGTTACCATATTCCATGCCAAGTAGAAGGCCACAGCTTTATTACTGCTGGATTTTTGAGAAGCCAGGGGAAAGTTTGCCAGTGCAAGTAAAAACATAAAATCATAGCAAGCTGGGAACTGCAGAGAAAAAGAAAAATGGGTCATGTCTTTGCAAATATCAGCACCGGTATAATAATGAAAATACAATTCCAGTGGTGTAGTGCATTCTTTTTAAGACACAAGGGTTGTGCAATGTCTGTATTATTATGTCTGTCACAGCAACAACAAAAAAAACATTTAAATTGTGAAATGCAATTGATTGGGACAGATAGTTATCTAGTTATAAGTGTTTACAAAGTGACTAGAAAGATGCTAAGGGCAACACTCAGGGGAAATAATCGCCTCTTGCACCAACAGTGAAGTTAAGACCAACTTTTTAATTGCATTATTAAATAATCACAATTATTGCTTCCATTTCATGTTCTGCCTGCTTAAAGTAACACTACAGTGTCAGGAATACAATCATGTATTCCTAACACTATAGTGCTGGTGTGCCAGCTTAGGTCCTGGTCCTCCCTATCTGAGCAGTAAAAAGGTATTTAAACGTATCATTTCTCCCAAACTACGCCTAACTCCACCTCCATGACTGAGATCATCAAACTTGATTGGAAGGCTATTGTGCATGTGCGGCAAAAAGCCACGGTGCACCAAACAGCATCTGCTCATAGAGATGCATTGAATTAGTTCATCTCTCTGGGAACCATAGACACTGAATATCAGTGCTGCACATTGAGCAGCATTGTACTAGGAAGCACCTCTAGTTGCCATCTGAGTGACTGCCACTAGAGATTTTCCTAGGCATCAATGCAAACACTGCCTTCTTTGCATAAAAGACAGTGTTTACATTAAAAAGCCTGTAGAGACAGGCTATAGGCACCAAAACCACTAGATTCAGCAGTAGTGGTTCTGGTGACTAAAGGGACCCTTTAAGGAGTATTCATCTCAGGAATATATGATTACAGCAATTCATATCTACATAGAATTATTTGATAAAACGACAAACCTGCTTTAATATATATTTTATATCTATCTATATATATATCAATCTATCTATATATACCAATGTATATATATGTTCACCAATGTAACACACATCTTCAACTGCTCGCTCTCTTCTGGCATCGTCCCTGCTGACCTTAAACATGCCACTGTAGTACCTATACTAATAAAACCATCGCTTGACCCGTCCACCCCCTCTAACTACCGTCCCATATCCCTGCTCCCTTTTTCCTCAAAGCTTCTGGAAAGACTCGTCTTTACCCGTGTGTCTCATTTCCTCAATTACAACTCTCTCCTTGACCCCCTTCAATCTGGCTTCCGCCCTCTCCACTCTACAGAGACTGCCCTTATCAAAGTTACTAACGACCTAATCGCAGCTAAATCCAAAGGCCACTACTCCATACTAATTCTTCTTGACCTCTCGGCGGCCTTTGACACCGTTGATCATGCTCTCCTTCTTCAAACTCTGCAATCGCTTGGTCTCTGTGACTCTGTCCTCTCATGGTTTTCCTCTTATCTCTCCCAACGCTCATTCAGTGTCTCTTTTTCTAATGATACCTCCTCCCCTCGCCCTGTCTCGGTTGGAGTCCCCCAAGGCTCCGTCCTTGGTCCCCTTCTATTTTCTCTTTATACTGCCTCTCTTGGCAAACTTATTACCTCATTTGGATTCCACTACCACCTGTACGCTGATGACACCCAGCTATATCTCTCCTCCCCGGACCTCTCCCCTGCTGTCCTGCAACGTGTCACTGCTTGCCTTTCTTCCATCTCTGACTGGATGTCCTCCCGCTTTCTGAAACTCAATCTCTCAAAAACTGAGCTCCTTGTCTTTCCTCCTCCTAATACTGATCCTCCTCTTTCGCTCTCCCTTCAAGTTTGTGGTACCAACATCAGCCCATCCTTGCAAGCGCGCTGTCTTGGCGTCATACTTGACTCTGGTCTCACCTTTGAGCCTCACATCCAGCATGTTGCCAAATCCTGTAGATTCCATCTTAAAAACATAGCCCGCATCCGCCCCTTTCTTGCACCAGATACTACCAAGGAGCTTGTCCATGCTCTAATAATTTCACGCATGGATTATTGTAACCCTCTCCTGCTTGGTCTTCCCAAAAGCCATACTGCACCCCTACAGTCTGTAATGAATGCTGCTGCTAGACTGATTTTCCTCTCTAGTCGGTTCTCTCACACCTCACCCCTCTGCCAGTCCTTACATTGGCTTCCTGTGTGCTATAGGAGTCAATTCAAGGCACTAACTCACACCTATAAAGCACTGAACAACTCTAGCCCCTCTTATATCTCCTCACAGATCCACAGGTATGTCCCTTCTCGGTCTCTCCGCTCTGCCCGTGACCACCTCCTGTCCGTTGTCCGCACCCGTACGGCCAACTCGCGCTTGCAGGACTTCTCGCGGGCGGCTCCCTTCCTATGGAATAGCCTGCCTACCGCCATCCGACTCTCCCCTAGTCTTGCATCTTTTAAGAAGTGCCTTAAAACCCATCTCTTTAGGAAAGCTTATGGCCTCCAAGACTAACCCCTACCTCACATACCCGTCTCTTGCCCTCTCCTAAAGGGCAGCCCACCTTATTTGATTGCAAATTCCTGTCCTAATGTGTTTTACACCCCACCTCCTATAGAATGTAAGCTCGATTGAGCAGGGTCCTCTTCAACCTATTGTTCCTGTAAGTTTATTTGTAATTGTCCTATTTATAGTTAAATCCCCTCTCATAATATTGTAAAGCGCTACGGAATCTGTTGGCGCTATATAAATGGCAATAATAATAATATATATACTGTATTTTTGGTTTGTGTGTGTGTGTAGAAAGCTTACTGATTTCTCCAAACAAATCTAGATTCATTGTTTGCTTCAAATTAGCCTTAAGTGTTCACTTTTGTCAAATTCAGAGATTCGGATGAATTTAGGCTGATCATCTGTTTGTCCAAATTCCATATCTACGAAGTGCCATGCCAATATGAAATCTAAGCAAACATTAAGTTGATGCCCAAATATGTCAAGAAGCTTCAGAATTCTGGGTTCTGCACATGGCACCAAAAAAAGGGGGATATAGGTGAATGAAGAGAAAGCTGACTTTTTTTTTTTTAGGACCAATATGCAGTTAGGCATTAATTTAATTGTTAGGAACTCACATTTCTGTGTTTTGCTCCCGCATGGCTGGTTCCCTCTTTCCACAATCCTCCCCAATCCGAGGCCGAAGTGTGGGTGTTCGGCAGGGTTTACAGCATCTTCTGATCCCTGGTGTTTTGTGGGGTGCCCCAAATCTTGGCATGTTGGCATGCTTTGGATTCAGGCCACATTCTCTAGAGGTGAGTCTCTGAGTTTCTTAGACAGTGCGTGTGCACTACATGCCACGACTTATGGTGAATGGGATGAAGCAGCCCAGGGGAAGCAGGCTATTTATGGGAGCATTGCATAGGGAGGGAGTGCCTTCCCCTCTCTATTTAATGCTTCTTACCATAGAGCTTAATTGTGTACCTACAGTTTAATAATGTTTCACTTGTACCGGTTGATCCTTAGCCTTACTCTGAGCTGGTATTTGACCTCTTGCATGTTTAACCTACACTGGCTGTACTGGCCTAACAGATGTGGGCTGCATCTTCTGTGCAATCAAAAGAGCAGCCTTTAAACCTTCAGCTTATTCATAGAGCAAGTGATAAGATACCAATAGAGGGAAAAGAAGAAGAAGAAGAAGAAGTCAAACACCTACATATTTCGAAAAAAGAATTGTTTCAGACACTTTAACCACAACTATTGATTGAGACAGATCAGCAGTGGCATTGTGTTTTTTACCTTGTCTGTGTCGAAGCCTGTGTCATTGATCATGCTAGTGTGAGACTCCTTTCAGCTTCGTGTTTACTGCTGTGCCTGCCTAACTTCTGCCAGAGCTTCTTACATCAACTTTGAGTGGGAGATATATAGCCTAGGTCATTGATCCTAATGTGTGATTCTGGTTAGGTCATTGCTGTGCCTATACCCTCATGTGGAACAGTGCCCATTACACAGTCTTTGATTTGGAGAAGGATGTATTCTGTTTAAAGGAACACTATAGGGTCAGGAACACATACTTGTATTCCTGACTCTTTCCCCACTTAAATCACACTTTTAAAAATCACCTTTATTAAAATCTGTCTGCGATGGCCCTGCGCCCGATACGCCTCCTTGGTTGACATAATCAGAATTGATGATCTTAGCCAATCACAATGCTTATCCATAGGAAAGGCAGGGCAGGGGGCAGAGCCAAACACCACCATAGCCAATCCATATTGAATCCATGCATCTCTATGAAGAATGCTCAGTCTCTTCATGAAGAGCATGGAGACACTGAAGTCAGTGTTGTACCCAGGAAGCACCTCTAGTAGACGTCTGAGGAGGTGTCCCTGGCCAGAAATGTAAACAGTGCCTTTTTTTCTGAAAAAGCAGTGTGTACAGCAAAATGCCTGAAGGGACTGACTATACTCACCAAAATAACCAAATTAAGCTGTACATTAAAGGGACACTCCAGGCACCCAGACCACTTCTGCCCATTGGAGTGGTCTGGGTGCCAACTCCCACTAACCTTAACCCTGCAACTGTAAATATTGCAGTTTTCATAAACTGCAATATTTACCTTGCAGGGTTAACTCCTCCTCTAGTGGCTGTCTACTAGACAGCCACTAGAGGGCACTTCCGGGTTTATAGCACAAATTTTTTGTGCTATAGCGTCGCTGGACATCCTCATGCTATGTGAGGACCTCCAGAGTCGCTGAAATCCCCATAGGAAAGCATTGAAAGCATTTTCAATGCTTTCCTATGGGGAGGTCTAATGCGCGTGCGCGGCATTGCCGCCCATGCGCATTAGGTCTCCCCTGTCGCCAGCCGCGCATGCGCAATAGGTCTCCCCCACTGGATGACCCAGTCCATCTGGAAAGAGATATATTCTTACCGTGGTGGACTACGCTACCCGCTTCCCCCAAGGCAGTGGCTCTATCCAATATTCAGGCGGACACTGTAGCTAATGCCTTAGTCCAAGTATTCTCTCGGGTAGGATTCCTTAGGGAGATCCTATCCGACCGGGGTACTCAGTTCACTGCTGAACTAACGCAACAGCTATGGCATGTCTGTAAAATAAAATCCCTGCTCAGCTCCCCGTATCACCCTCAAACTAATGGGCTATGTGAGAGGTTCAATGGGACTCTAAAGCAGATGTTAAAAACGTTCACCCAGGAGTATAGGGACTGGGAGCATTTCCTACCGCACCTCCTGTTCGCTTACCGGGAGGTGCCCCAGGAAACCACCGGATTCTCTCCATTTGAACTGCTCTACGGGAGTAAGGTGCGGGGACCCCTGAACCTGATCCGTGAGCACTGGGAGGGAGAGACAGAGAATGCCGGAGTTCCCATTGTGCCCTATGTACTGGAGCTTCGGGACCGCATGGAGCAGCTGGCCCGGTCAGTTCAGGCTAACCTCCAGGCGGCCCAGAAATGACAGAAGGTATGACCGAGGAGCGAGAAAAAGGAGTTTCTATGTAGGGCAGAAGGTGATGGTGCTTAAACCTGTCAAAACAGACAAGTTGCAAGCAGCATGGCAGGGACCGTACCAGATAGTAGAGAAAAGGGGTGACACGACTTGTGATTGCCAGTTGTCATGACAAAACCTTAAGGAAGATATTCCATGTAAACATGTTAAAGGAATATCGTCAACGACCTGACGAGATAGCAGCTATATGTAGCCCGGCCAGCGAAGACCCAGACAGCCTTCCCATACCCGACATGCTTACCCCGAGAGACCCGTCAGACATAGGGGACCAGGTACAGATAGGGGACCGACTGAACCCAGTAGAGAGGGAGCAGTTACACCAACTGCTCCAAGAGAAGCAGGCTGTATTCTCCCAAAAACCGGGATACACCACTTTAGCCACTCACCAAGTGGACTCCCCAGGGCAGCAATCTTTAAGGCAGGCCCCCTACCGGATTCCGGAAGCGGTCCGGGCAGGGATGAAAAAGGAGATCACTGAGATGCTCCAGCTAGGGGTCATTGAGTCCTCCGATAGTCCCTGGGCGTCCCCGGTAGTATTGGTTCCCAAGAAGGATGGTACTACCCGATTCTGTGTGGACTATCGGAAGCTGAATGATAAGACTGTGACCGATGCCTATCCCATGCCCCGAGTGGATGAATTATTGGATCGCATAGCCAGGGGAAACTACCTACCATAGACCTCTGTAAAGGTTATTGGCAAATTCCCCTGGCCAGGGAGGCTATCCACAAGTCGGCATTCGTCACCCTGTTCGGCTTATACCACTTTAAGGTTATGCCATTCGGGATGAAGAATGCCCCTGCTACCTTTCAGCGCTTGGTGGATAGGCTCCTTGATGGCTTCCAGGAGTTTGCCTGCGCATACCTGGATGACATAGCGATCCATAGTGAGTCCTGGGAGGACCACCTAAT